GCATTTCGTTGCAACGGCAGAATGGTAAGTGGCTGACGGGTCTATAGGGGGAGTCAAGTCTTAGACTCGCTTTCCGTTTCTTCAGAGTCCATTTTCAGTGCTGCCTCTGACGAACTCTCCTCTGCGTGCTTGTGCTCCGCTGTACTGGTTGCTCTGCTTTGGGGGTCTCCCTGTCTGAGACCAAGGGACGCGAGTGAGGAGTGAGGAGAGGATGACAATCCGCCTTCTGAGTCGTCTCAGAAACTGGCTCACCACGGTTGCATGGTAAGTGGTTGGGCCGGTCTATTGGGGGGGGAAACGGAGTCTAGGTCGCCGTGTGGCAAGTCTTAGAATCGAGCTAGTTTTCTTTCAAAAATGTTTCCGCTCCTGCTTCTGACGCAGTCTCCTGTGTGCTTGTTCCTGTTCTGTGCGCTCTGGTGCGGTGTGGGTGCCTGGTGGACTGAGAGGCGTGGAATGGGCGTCACATGGACAGAACGAGTTGCTCCCAGCGGTGGTGCGTCGGAGGGACGCAGTGGCGTGGCCTGGGCGAACACTGGCATGCAGAGTGAGGGAAGGAATCTTAGGAATTGAACAGGGTGAGTGTTATCCCCCTGTACCTACCCACGCTTGCCATGTTGTGCTATCAACTTTCTCCTTCGCCTTCCCGCTTGCCATGCTCCTCTCTGCAGGATTATGTCATGTTCCTGCTCCTTACTTTCACCTTGTTTCCACATGTCATTATATCGCATGCTCCTCGTAGAATTCCCAGATAGAGTAATCCTCCATCTCTATTCCAGTATTTCTCTTTGGCATTCGCCCTCCTCACTAACATCCCCTCCTATCTGCATCGCCTTCTGTCCTTCACAGGCCAATCGAAGGCAGCAGGAACAGCAGCAGGAGTAACAGTTGTGGTGATGTTTGGGGGGTCGGCTTAGTAGCCGCGGAAGTATAGGCATACGTTCGTAATTAATTGCTTGTCCATGAGAGTGGTGGTAGGTGAACTAAGGTGAAGGGATGGTGAGGCCTGGTAAGGTACTGGTAATGTGAGGTATAAAGATGCTGAGGCATGATAAGGTATGGTACGGTAAGGTACACCCACCTCGACCAGGACAAAAGAATCACCCAACACAGGAAGCAAGCTTTGCCTAGTTAGATGCTGGTAGATATACCCAAGCAGGGAGATGGACACACAGACACATGTGAGAAAGAGACCATTCAACCATGCCCACCAGAAAAGGCGACATCCAGAAAAACACAAGCGAAGCTGCACAAAACTTCGACTGCTGCTGGTGTCAATGATAGTGTTGCTTCTGCAGCTCAGCATCTTACAGTCCTCCTAAGCTAGGGACACCGCTTGACAGCTGGATACCTGACACCCACCCACGTTACCAGCAAGTTGCAGGCTGCGCAATCTGGTTTCTAATCATGTTCGGTTCAGTGGCTCACGAATGGTATCTGGTTAAGTGTGTTATAGTGGTCCAGATGAAGTGAAGTTAAGGTCCTGATGTCCTATCTTTGTATATATCGCATTGCCTACATGTGTAGCACTTATCCTGTTCAACAGATCTCATAGCTGACTATGGTCATAACTATGTTATACGTGATACCCTTTTTTTTCCGAGAATCAAGCTCCGTTGCATCGCGCCTCGAATTTACCGCCAATATTTGTCGCGGTTGTCAGAGGTGTCGTCTCTGACACCAGCCTTCCCTACCTCTCCCCACCGACGGCGGTTCCTAGCAATTCAAGCACCTTGTTGCTCCCTGCTTGCCATGCCAGTCACATTCTTCCAGCGATGGCTCTGTTTCTTCGTACCAAACTCTCTTACCTGAGTCCCATTGTCGCCATACCTATCGATAGTCCACCTGTCGATGGTGGAGATTGATCCGCCTGAAGCGACGCCGGTTGGAAAATACCATTTCAATTCTCCTTTTACATATGAAGAGTTAGGCGTCGCGACTCCTCTATGACTGATCCATTTTCCAGATACCAATTGCGGTCCAACGACGGAGGTACAGCCTTATTACGTAGTTCTGAGAAGCAGGGAGATTAACGACCTTAGTACGCGGTTCTAAGACGAAGGGTAGATTCACAACCTTCTTACGCGCTGGTCCGAGTTCGCAGGACGTATCACGACCTTGATCAGAATCAGCTAGCAGTCTCCACAACGCGTTTTCACAGCGTACGATGAAGTCGTAACCTTTAGGGTGCTGTCCTAACCACCATAGCGATCTTAACACGCGGTTCAGCTGATCACTCCCTGGACCTTTTCGTCGACGCCGTCCTACCATGCTGGTCATTTCCGTCTGTGCATCCGGCCTTTCATCCAGCCGAACCTTTTCGCCGTTTTCGCCTGGCGGTCGTCGGCTTTCGGTGCCGTTTGCCGAGTTCTGGCCTTTGCTGCGGTCGATTTTCGTTGCCGGTCGCCAAGTTCGTTCCTGTCATTCGCCATACTCGCTGCCATTCGCCATGTTCCGCTACCTTTTGCCGACTGTCGGTGCCGTTCGCTTAGTGTCGCAGCTTTCCGCAGCGCTGCTACCGTTCGCCGAGTATAGCAGCCTTTCGCAGCGCTGCGACCGTTCGCCGAGTCTTCGCGGAGTTTCCTGGCGTTCGTCGTCTTCCTGGCTTTCGCTGATGTGCGCCGAGTTTGTCTTCCGCCGGTATCGCCGTCTTTCGCTGTCGTTCGCGAGCTTTGCTTCGATGAAACACGCCAAGGATATAGAAGGTCGCAGAGCATTGCGACAGAGCGGTCGACCTGATAGCAGCTGTGTGTGCGCGAGCAGTGACGCAGATCTACTCCAGCAGCAGCGGGTAAATGCGGATTGCGAGGGGAGCAGCAGCGCGGATTCGAAAGGGTGCGTGTGCGTGGAAAGCAATTGGGGGGTCGAACCGTCTAGGTCGCCGCGCGGCAAGTCTTAGAATAATTTTTTGTTTCATTCGAGTCCGTTTCCTCGGCTGCTTCTGACGCTCTCTCATCTGTGCTAGTTCTTGTGCCGTGAATTGCGAGGAGAAATGCAGAACGCGCGGAGAACGAGGAGGGTAAGACGAACGACATCAGAGCAGCAACAAGGATACAGGGCGGCGAAAGCAGGAGGCGGAAGAGGCACTGTGTTACTGTGCAGTACGGTAAGCTCTTGACTATATCTATTGGGGGGGTGTCGAACAGTCTAGGTCGCCGCGCGGCAAGTCTTAGAATGATTTTTTTGTTTCTTCCGAGTCCGTTTCCTCTGCTGCTTCTGACGCTCTCTCCTCTGTGCTTGTTCCTGTGCTGTTGCGAGGAGAAATGAGGAATTCTCGGATGAACGCGGATGGCGCGGAAAAACGCGCATCGAGCGGAGAAAGCGCGAACTGCGGATTGTGCGGAGAACGCGGATTGAGCGAACAATGGGTGCTATCGGCTGTGCAGCGTGGTAAGCTCTTGAACGAATCTGCTTGGGGGGTCGAACAGTCTAGGTCGCCGCGCGGCAAGTCTTAAAATCAATCTTTCTTTCAAGTCCGTTTCCTCTACTGCTGCTGACGCTCTCTCCTCTGTGCTTGTTCCTGTGCTGTGTTCGCTGCTGTGGTTGGGGTGCCTCCTTGACTGAGGCCCGTGCGTCGCGTGCCAGGGAGGTGCTCTGGCAGCAGCAGTCCGCCTGCTGACGCGCCTTCTGAACTGTCTCACGAACCAGCGCATTATTGTAAGCTGTTGGGCGGAAGTATATAGGGGGGTAAAGCAGTTTAGGTCGCCGTAGGCAAGTCATAGAAATAATTTTTTGCTTATCTCAAGTCCATTTTTTCTGCTGCTGCTGACGCTCTCTCCTCTGTGCTTCCTCCTGTGCTGTGTGTGCGGCTCTGGTTCCAGTGCCTGCTTCCCTGTCGCCCAAGCTTGCGTCAGCAGTCCTGCCTGCCAAAGGGTGGTGCGTCCAGTGAGGATCCACTTTTCTAGCCGTCTCAGGAACTGCCTCACCAACGGTGAGTCGCTGGGCGGATTTATCCAGGGGGGCAGAGCACTCTAGGTCTCCGTGCGGCAAGTCACAGAATCAGGCTTTGCTTCTTTTGAGTCCGTTTGTTTTGCTGCTTCTCACACTCTCTCCTCTGTGCTTGTGCCTGTGTTGTGTGTGCCTCCTCCACTGAGGCCCATGCACACCTCAATAGTCCTGCCAAGGTTGGTTCGTCTTGGGAGGGGCTCTGCAAGTGAGGATCAGCCTTTTGAGCGTCTCAGAAGCTGCCTCACCACTGCAGAACGGTAAGTCGTCGTGCGGATATATGGGGGGGGGCAGAGCAGTCTAGGTCGCCGTGCGGCAAGTCGTAGAGTCGGGCTTTGCTTTTTCCGAGTCGGCTTTCTCTGCTGCTTCTGACGCTCTCTCCTCTGTGCCTCCTGTGTTGTGTGCGCTGCTCTGGTTCCGGTGCCTCCTTGCCTGAGGCCTGTGCATGCCCCAACAGTCTTCTCTGCCATGGGTGGTGCGTCCAAGGGAAGGGCTCTGTGAGTGGGGATCCGTCTTCTCATCCGCCTCAGAAACTGCCTCACCATCACAGTATGGTAAGCCGTTGGGCGGATGTATCAGGGGGGCAGAGCAGTCTAGGTCGCCGCGCGGCAAGTCTAAGATTCGGTTTCTGCTTCGTCCGAGTCCTCTTTCTGTGCTGCTTCTGACGCTCCCCCCCCTGTGCGTGTTGCTGTGGTGTGTTGACTGAGGCCCATGCACGAGGCAGCAAGCCTTCCCCCACGGGGTGGTGCATCCCAGGGAGGGGAGGGGTTCTACGAGTGAGAGAGGATCCTCTCTCTGAATCACAAAGGCTATACGGTACGTTGTCGGCCGGGTCTATCAGGGGATCAGGGCAGTCTAGGTCGCCGTGCGGCAAGTCGTAGACCTGAACTTGATTTCTTCTGAGTCCGTTTCTGCTGCTGATTCTTACGCGCTCTCCTCTGTATTATTCTTGTGTGTTTTTCCTCTGTGCTTGTTATTCTGCTTCGGCTGTGTTCTCGGATCCGGTGCCTCCTTGACTACGGGACTCGACTCTGCTCGGCTCTGCTCTGCTCTGGCGCATGGACTTGACTCGACTGCGGGATCGATGGGTGGAGGCAGGGGAGGGATCAGCAGCGGAAATGCAGGCTATACTGGTTCCCTATGACACTGTGCAGTACGGTAAGTCGTTCGCCGAATTTATCTGGGGGGGTCAAGGAGTCTAGGTTGCCGTGCCGCACGTCTTAGAACCGAGTTTTGTTTCTTTCGAGTCCGTTTCCTTTGCTGCTACTGCTGACGCATTCTCTTCGCTTCCATGCTTGCCTCCGTGCTGTGTTGGCTGCTCTGTGTTGGGGTGTCTCCCTGACTGAGACTCAGGTACGTGGTGACAGTGCGGCCCAGGAAGGTGCCAGACACAGGCTCACACAGCGGCAACATGGTAAGTGGCTGGGCCGGTCTTTTGGGCTGGAACAGAGTTTAGGTCGCCGCACGGCAAGTCTTGGAATCGCTGTTTCTTCCGAATCCGCCTTCTCTGCTGCCTATAATGCACTCTCCTTTGTGCCCGTCATTGCTGTGCTGTGTTCGGTGCTGTGGTTCCTATGCCTCCTCCCCTCAGGCCAATGGACCCATCAGTAGTGCTTCTCGGAGAGGCACTGAGCGAGGGAGGATCCGCATTCTGAGCCATCTCATCTCAGAGCATGGCTGGCTTACAATGACCGCAGGGTAAGTGCTTGGGCGGGTCTGTTGTGGGGTTGAGGGCAGTCTAGGTCGCCGTGCGGCAAGTCTTAGATTCAAGCTTTGTTTCGTCCAAGTCCGTTTCTGCTTCTGCTTCTGACGCACTCTCCTGTGTGTGTGTTCCTGTGATGTGTGCTCTGGTGCGGTGCGGGTGCCTGGTGGACTGAGAGGCGTGGAATGGGAGTCACAGGGACAGAAGGTGTTGCTCCCAGCGGTGGCGCGTCAGAGGGACGCAGTGGCGTGCTGGCGGATGGACATAACGTTGCTGCTCACTGGCGGTCAGCGGGGCGTGCTGGCAGTGCGTCCCAGGAAGGAGCCGTGCGAGTGAGGAGTGCGGGTCTGCCTTCTGAGACGTCTCAGGCACTAGCTCAACATTGGCAAGTAGTTGGCAGGTCTATTGGGGGGGCAGAGCAGTCTAGGTCGCCGCGCGGCAAGTCGTAGGGTCGAGCTTTGTTTTCCTTCGAGCCTGTTTCTTTCCTGCTTCTGACAAAATTCTCTCTGTGTGTGTTGCTGTGTTGCATTGGCTGCTCTGGCTCGGTGGTCTGCCTGACTGAGACCCAGGGACACATCGACAGTGCGTCCCAGAGAGATGTTGTGCGGTTTAGGAGTGAGGATCCGCCTGCTCAGCTGTCTCAGTCGTTTGCTCACCACAGCAGTATGGTAAGTAATTCGAGCGGATTCATTGGGGGGGCAGAGCAGTCTAGGTCGCCGTGTGGCAAGTCACTGAAGCGAGCTTGTTTTTCCATCGAGTCTGTTTCTCTGCAGCTTCCGACGCACTCTCCCCTGTGCTGTTTCCTGTGGTGTCTGCTCTGGTGCTGGTGAGTATCCTCTGCTTGCTATAGCGACCTGCATTGCACTCCCACATACCACTAACCCTCATCCGAGTAGGTGACTGGGTGAGGGGAGCGATGCAAAGATACAGCAATTATCTGGATTCTCAGCAAGTCACCAAGCGTGTTTTGCAGAGGAAGAAATTCTCTTAGATGTTCGTGCCGCTGGGTAAACCCCACTCTCCTCCATCGCTTAATTGGTCTTCTTCTGGCTTATATTTCCCTGCTTTTGTTCATCGCTGCCTTAGTGCTTGCTGTAGTGTTTCCTCCCCTCCCTCCGTCCCAGCCCCTTTATTTCCTTTTTCACTTGCTGCACCCAACCCCCTTCGTGCCCTTCTCCAACCTGTGGCATTTCAGCATGTGGAGAGGAGAGCATGTGGGATTACAGCTGCATTGTCGCTTCCATTCCTATCCTCCAATGTTTCAGTCAAACCTTATTTTCTTCTGAATGTTTTGCCTCTGCCATTCTCTCTGCGTATTCGAGCTCTTCCCTCCCAATTTATGCTCCTTGATTCTGCTTTACTCCCCTACTCCCCCCAATCACGCAACAGGCATGGTTGTAGCAACGCCATCAACGTGCAGGCAGGAAGGGAGGAGGGGAGGAAGGAAGGAGAAAATGAGGGAAGGAGCAGAGGAGGACAGGAGGAAACGGGTAAAGCAGCGAAGGACAGAGGGAGGATGAAAGGCTTGCTTGGAAACGAACAGGGTGAGTAACATCGCCCTCGCTGCACCCACCCACTTATGCTTGCCATGCTATATTGTTCACTAAGTCCCTGCCCTCGTGCCTTCAAACCGCACTTGTGCCATTCAGCTCACTTGTTTCCAGGCTATTCGCTCCTAAACTCACCAGTTTCACAAGTGCAATGTTTCCTTTTCCCCATAACAGTCTCTTCTCCTCTGAGTCGTGTTTCTCATACTGTATCTCTTGCCCCTCGTATTCTTTCCAGGTAGAGTATTCTTATCCTCTCAGCATCACCTTCTGGCCCAGGTCAACAATAGCCATCTGGAACAGCACCAGCAGGCATGGCAGTAGCAGTGGTGTATGCATAGCAGCAGTAGAATCAGCAAAACTAGTGGTAGGGAGGCATGGCAAGATACGGTAGGGCAAGGTATTTTAGAGTAGTGTGAGGTATGCTGAAGCATGACAAGGTATGGTAAGGTGCACCCACCCAACGAAGCCAGAACAAAAGAATCACCCAAGAAAGTGAGAAGCCATGTCTAGTCAAACACAGAGCTGTGGCGTATCAAGAAGACACACGCGCCAAAGCAAAGAAAGAGCCCAATTAGGGAGACAGCCACCACTCCCGACCAGGGAAGCAGGACATGTGCGACCAAGACCCAACCAGGAAAACAGCATACATGTACGCTCGTACAGCATCACCCAACAGACACAGGTGTTCATGCAGCATAACCCAGCGGACAGGTGTTCAGACAGCATAACCCAGCAGTCACAGGTGTTCATACACCACTACACAGGATGCACAGATGTTTGTACAGCATCACCCAGGAGATACAGATGGTCATGCAGCATTGCCCAAGAGACATGCTCATACAGCATCACCCCAGACACAGGTGCTAGCATAGCATCGACCAACAGTCGCAGGTGCTGCTAGAGCATCCACCTACGCACAGAAATGGTACGGCAAGCCATGCCCCATGAGATTGACTCGGACAAGCCAGGTGACTGTTCTGCCTGCAATGAATATAAAGTTCTCTTGACTTTCCAGGTTCACTACCGGTAAGTCAATGGGTAGCTGCTGCTAGCTATGCATATTCTAGTTCAAGTGTTATTGTTGTCATAGAATAGACTGTACGGGTGTACTGTCAATTCTGAAGATTCAGATGAACATCCCGTTTCAGAGCTGTTCCCCTCGAACATGTCGACGGAGGCATGATCGATGCGCGACACGAAGACCTCGAGAATTTGTTGAATCAGCTCCGACGTTTTTCTGAAGTTCGAAATGCCCGCTGAAGTGCCACCATCACCATCAACCGCATCCATGAAGCAGGAGACTGTCAACAGAAACCAAAGCGCTGCACTGAGGCCCGTGTGGCGTCTCTGATCACTAGAGTTCCGTCGGACAAATTGGTGTAAGCAGTGTAATGGCTGAGGGTCTGTGGCGAGGTCCGAGCGCTGATCAGGATGTTAGATTTTCGGACAAAGACACGAAGCTCCTGAAGACACAGCGATTCTCAAAATTTTTTGATAAACCTGTAAGCTGGATCCTTTATCTTGCAAAGCGGCGTAGTATGGGCTTGTTCGTCACCTGATAGATCGTTTTTTTGCAGGTGGATATGAAGAAAGTGAAGAAGGAATTAATATACCCGTGGATTGCTAGAAGAGTGACAGAGCTCCTTGGAGTTGAAGATGAGGTTCTAATCAATTTCATTTTTAGTCTACTCCAAGACGAGGTGAGCTTTATTTGCGCGGAAAGCTTTTCTTCACGAAATGTGTTTCTAATATTGCGATGTGTGCTCTACTACAGATTATGAAATGCGATCGGGCCGTGCTTTGTTTGGTGAAACACACCTTATGCTATATTTCACGTTTCATTATGGCAGGTGGATCCCAAACGCATGCAGATACAGCTGACAGGGTTCCTGGAGAATCACACGACTACTTTCATGAAGGAATTGTGGAAAATCCTCCGTAACGCTCATCACAATGAGCACGGGATTCCGCAGAAACTTCTGGACGAATTCGCCGAGGAGAATGGATTAATTGTAAGGCTGTGATGTTTCTTTGCTCTAGCAGATAATCTGTGCATTTTACTGCAACTTACGATTTCTTCTACTCTTCCATTCAGCCCACTGAGGTAGGAGATGCGAGAAAAAAGGCGTTGGAAGCTGCTGCAAGGCTCTCGTCAGATATCCTTGAGGAGTCTCAAAAGGAACGCGGGACGAAAGAAGACCACGAGGTTCCGACGATCGACGGAGATGCAGAATTGCAAAGAAGCAACCGAAGCAATCACTTCCACGCACAAGACGAAGACTGGAAAAGGTATTTTTTTCCCAGTCATCATTCATCACAATCCTCCCGCACAGTGGCCAATTATGCTGACTCTCTACTGTGCTTTCTGTATTTTCAGGAAGCGCTCTCACAGTGCAGTTGAGCGACGAGATTTCAATGCGCACAAGCGTAGAAGGTTCTCCAACCATCATGGAAATCGTTACAATCACGGCGATCGATTTCCACTCAATAATACCCTTCGATTTGGTCGATCTTCTGACTCTCACCAACAGCCTCAATGGCATCGCAACTTACGACGTAATAGCTGCAACCCACGACAATCATGGTCGTCGGGGAAAGCATACAAGAGGGAGGGAGCTGCAAGGTCCTTCCGAGGCAACAACTCTAACCGGACCGCCAGCATGACATCATACCCACCTGGATTCAACTGCTCGCGGAATGGGACTGATTCACTGGCTGAACTGAGTGTCAACATTGAACGGCAAAAGACTTACCCTCCTGGATTTGAGAAAAAAATCAACTCTGAGCTCCACGACATACAAGATACACAGCAGCCCCAATCACCACCCCCGGGATTTCACTGTCGTCGAGAATGGCGTTCTCATATCCAACTAAGGTAAGGAGCGACCTGTTCAATGCATTATGTCTCAATTCAGGCTGGGATTTCTTGCTGATGTTCTCTCCTCTTTGCTTCCAGGAGTTTCAAGAGGCCTTCCTCTCCTCAATTCAGCCGGAAGAGCCAGCCTGAGGCGCGTCTGGTTTTTGAAGGGCCATGCGACGAAGCTAAGCTCGCAGGACAGCCTCGGAGCACTGAGAATACTGCTGTAGCTACTCGTGTCACTGCTCAGGTTGAAAACCATCAGTGTGCTGCTGCGGCACATCCTGCTGGTGGATCTTTGCAGGACATTGGAGGTGCAACTGCACAAGTTGCTGTTGACGGTGGAAGGTTTGTTGGTGCTATATCTCGAGATGCTTGCAGTCCTCCACAAGCCTCTACTAAAGCCTTGGCTGCAGGAGCATGTGGAGTAGAAGATACATCTCATGGACAGGACAAGTTCTACAAAAGCCCGGACCAGCAAGACTCGAGTCGCCAGGTTGAAGACATGGACATTTCATCTGAGGACGAGTCGTGTGTGAAAAAGAGCATGATGGATTCAGCCGGCTCTGCAGGAGAGTGCGAGGGCATGGAGACAAGGGACGAAAGGAAGGCAAGGAAGATGGAGAGGCGGCGCCTCAAGGAAGAGAAGAGGGCTCGGAAGGAGGAGAGGCGGAAGAGGCGGGAGGAGAAGCGGCAACGAAAGGCAGAGAAGCAGGCTGCCAGGGAGGCGAGCAAGAAGGCGGAGAGCGGTGGAGATCATCCAGATGACTGGGTGCCCCTCCCAATCATGGAACCAGAAGCAATGAAGCAAGATGCGGAGATTCAAATATGTTCCCAGGAGTTTGAGGAGAGAGACAGAAGGTGGCTCGACACTGTGCTCCTGGATGGACCTGCTGACATTTCACAAACTGAGGATCCTGATTGGGTTTCCATGCCGAAGTTGGCAGCAGCAGGCAAGACAGTGATGGAATCTCAGGAGCATCACAAGACAATTACTGCAGATGAACAGAGGAAAGCAGACCTGGAGAGGGATTTGAGGATGAAGGTGATGCATTCTTTCCAAGCAAGGCGCCTGACAGTTGGAGATGCTGGTTGGCAGTAGACAGTGGAGTGGACACAATACCGTATGCTATGCCAGACAAGATCCCCAAGGTCTACCTAGCTAGCTCAGTGGAGTGGCCACATTCATCATGCTTCAGTTTCTAGGACTAGTTTCAGCTGATTCAGAAGTTTGATTACCGTATTCTTTATTGATCTTAACAATTTCCATATGCTCATGACTACACCCTCGCTCTCACAGGAGCTCTTTCGACAAATGTGGGAGAGGAAGTGCTATACATTCCTGGACGTTGCACAAATAATGCTCATACCGTCAGTGATATCAGACAAGGGGCTCAGACATGGAGAACCCTAACGGATGGAAAATGTGCAGAGCAAATTGGAGTGGAGACATTGCTTAGTCGAACAGGCTGAAACCCATATCCTGCACATCGTAAAAGAGGGGTAAGGCACATGGAACCAAAATTGGTATAAGGAGAAACGCAACGGGTTGTAGGGAGCTAATGAATCACTGCTGAAAGCCTGCGCGAATGTTAGACGACCTGTTACGTCATCTACTCAAAGTAAATAACCATCAACTGCTCCCTCTACTGTAAGACTGCTCGGATCCATATACCACCAGCTTCCAACTCTCGTGAAAAAACCGCCTGTCGCCGAGCAAGTTGCAATGTTGTGGTTCTGCTAGGGCTACGCAGAGAGACAGCCTTCAGTAGGTCTTCAAGTTCAACTAAACCCCCTCCTGATTATAAGTTCCCAGCAACCAGCTGTGCACGTCGCTGTCTCGCTCTATCTAAATCGGCCACGCTTCTCGGCGATAACTACGACTACGCGTTTCGGAAGAAGGAAAAAGGCACGGGGTTTGAAGGTAAAGGGACGATAGCATCCAGCATATGGAAAGTAGAAAAACGGGAGGGGCGGGGGACGACGTGGAGAAGGTTAAGCAAACAAAAGAGCATTGTAGATGAAACGAAAGGTACGTACGTCGTCGGACTCTTCCTTCTCCTCTTCCTTCTTCTCCTCCTTCTTCTCCTCAGCGGGGGCAGCAGCAGCGGCACCGCCACCGCCTGAAGCGGCAACGGCGACGCCGCCACCGCTGGGCACCGCGGCGAACTTCTCTCGGCCGGCCGCGATGACCTCGTTAATGTCCTTGCCCTCCAGCTGCTTCAGCAGCAGGTCTATCCTGTCATCATCGGCCTCAGCGCCGACTGCGGGATCACGGGAACAATAGAATGGCGGGGCCACGACGGAAGTGGCGGAAGGGGGGTGTGGCGAGGAAGGAGAAGGAAGTGGGCGAATTAGGGTTATGGACTTGCGAATAACTAAGGATCCGACGATCAAAGCTTCCGCCAGATTATTCCTCATAAACTTCAGACTTCTCGTGTATCAAACAATTGTATGTAAAACGTGTCAGCTCTAAACCCTAAAGCGCGTTGCTAGGACGGGAGGGTGGAGGGTTAGCGAGCACATGCCTGACGAAAGAATGCCCTTGATATCGGCAGCGGCGGGGCTCGCGTTGCCTCCGAGAAGCGCGAGGAGGTAAGCGGCGACAACCTTCATTGTGGCTGTTCGGGTGGAGTCGTGCTCGTGCGACTAAGGGAGGAGTAGGAGCGGTGGGTGAAGGCAGAAAGGAGGGCGAAAGGATCACAGTTATGCTGCTATTGGGGCTTTGAGGGAGGGCGCAGGGAGGAGGAGAAAGGAAGAAACGCGAGGGACGGGAGGGGAAGACGGGGGCAATAGGTCTGCGCTGTTGGGGGGGAATGGGGAAAGTGTGTTCAGTGCGAGCTCGGACTTCCCAGCTTGGCGGAAGAAGTTACAGCTGTGGGGGGGCAAGTTCTGCTTTCTTGGGGTGGTTCGGGGAGGGGGGAAGTTTGCTGACGTGGTGAGCCACAGCTGTACCCTATAGTGAGTGTGATCCAACGAGCACTGCCTACGATCTCGTTGCTGATGCTCTCCTGGTAGGCAGCTAATTTTCCTGGATACGTAGGAAGTGTACTGTACTTCTCGTGTAACGAAACTTTCCGAAACGAATCAGCCAAAAGTTGCGTGCTTTCTCGATTTTTTCAGGCTGCTTGCTTGGGCCTATCCCAGTCTGCATGTAGAGTGAACCACTGGAAGGTTCAAGCATGGTGCAAAAGGATAGAGGAAGGTCTCGTGCGGTATAAGGAAAGAAATAGCGATCTAGGCCAAGCCTCATGTGTTATCCTCTTGCAACCAAGATATTCCCTAGGTTGCTCTTCCCTAGTAGCTGCTGGTAGGGTTTCTTGCTGCTCTCGCCAGCGCGCCATCTCCTTGCCTTGCGTGAACATGGCGCCATCCGGATCAGTCTGTCGCCTAGACGCAGGATAAAGGGCGTTGCGATAAGATTCTCTCGCGGCCTAGTTTTAGCGTCGGCCTTTTCTTTTACCAGATCTGCGATTGAATCGGGGTTACGTCTTTTTCCGAGACACGAGATCGGTGACCCAGCTTATCTTTGCAATTTCTTTCTCGTTACATTCCTTTTCTTTTAGCCGTCATCCGTTTAGTTAGACGTTTATAGGTCGTCGTCTTTCCAAAATTATCGTCGCTTTCACTTCAAGGAGCCATGGCGGGCCGCTACCCTTATTCCGGTCCGGGAAGCAGCAACCAGCAGCAGCAGCATGCGTTACCTCCGAATTCCGAAGCCGCGTTGGAGGAGAAGGCGAGGAAATGGCAGCAGCTGAACCAGAAGCGGTACGCGGAGAAGCGGCGGTTTGGGTACGTGGAGCATCAGAAGGAGGACATGCCGCCGGAGCACGTGCGCAAGATCGTGCGCGATCACGGCGACATGAGCTCGCGCAAGTTCCGCCGCGATAAGCGCGTGTACCTCGGCGCGCTCAAGTTCGTGCCGCATGCGGTGCTGAAGCTTCTGGAGAACATGCCGATGCCCTGGGAGCAGGTGGGCTTGCTTTTCTCGTTCTTTATCTGTTTCTACGTTCAAAATTCCGTAATTTATTTCTTCGTTCTTCTTTGCACTATTTTCAGGATGTGTAGATACCATCTCCAACTTGCTTCCCGTATCTTTAATTTTGAATTTGATTCCTCCCTTCTTTTTATTTTTCCGTCGCTCAGTCTTCCGTCGTTTTCCCGTCTGATCGATTTCATCCATCGATCTGGTCACTGCCTTCTGACGAATTCCTTCTTTCTTCTGTCTCCAGTTCCGTTTGCCGTGCCATCCCGCTAATTTCCTCTGCTGCCTTCGTTTCTCTGTTCCCTCTCATCCCGTCCGTTCCTCAGGTGCGGCACGTGAAGGTGCTGTACCACATCACGGGCGCCATCACGTTCGTGAACGAGACGCCGCTGGTGATTCCGTCCGTGTACATGGCGCAGTGGGGCACCATGTGGATCATGATGCGCCGCGAGAAGCGCGATCGCCGCCACTTCAAGCGCATGCGCTTCCCGCCCTTCGACGACGAAGAGCCGCCGTTGGATTATGCCGAGAACGTGCTCCACGTGGATCCTCTCGATGCCGTCCAATTGGAGCTCGACGAGGAGGAGGACTCGGCGGTCTACGATTGGTTCTACGACTCCAAGCCGCTTGTCAACACGCGACTGGTCAACGGACCGAGCTACCGCAAGTGGGAGCTGAGCGTCCCGATCCAGGCAACTCTCTTCCGCCTAGCGGGTCAGCTTCTATCGGATCTGATCGATGAGAACTACTTCTACCTCTTCGATCTCAACTCTTTCTTCACGGCCAAGGCGCTCAACATGTGCATTCCGGGCGGGCCCAAGTTCGAGCCGCTGTTCCGCGAGAAGCCCGAGGCGGAGGAGGACTGGAACGAGTTCAACGACATCGGCAAGCTCATCATCCGCACGCCCATCCGCACCGAGTACAGGATTGCGTTCCCGTGGCTCTACAACAGCCGCCCGCGCAAGGTCGCCGTGCAGGCCTACCACACGCCGCAGGTGAGCGCGCCGTTGAGAGGCCGGGGTTGGGGTTGGGACAGCGGCTGGGGCTGGGGCTGGGGCTGGGGCTGGGGTTGCGGCTGGGGTTGAGGGGGACATGGGTTGGGGGAGGGTGGTGGGTGCGGGTGAGAGGCGGCAGGGTGAGGGTGGGCTGGGTGCGAGAGGGAAGCGGATGAATGAGAGCTTTTTCGAGCCTTAGCTGCTGCTGCTGCCGCTTCTGATGGTGAATTAACTTGCTCTTGTTGCACTCTTGCCCATCTCGTGGCGTTCCCCTTCCCACACCTCCTGTCTCCACTTACAAACCCTTTCGTTTGGTTGCTTTCTCTCACTTGCCCCTCTTAACCTGCCCATGTGTTTACGTCCCCCCTCCTGCCCCCCGTTCTCCCCCCTCGTTCCACCTCCCTTCTCCTTCCCCGCCCTTTCGTCTCCCCTCCCACCCTTCCTCTCCCCCACGCCCTTTCCCCCCACCCCTCCTCTCACTCCCCTTTTCACAACCCCCCTTTCCTCTCCCCCATCCTTTCCTCTCCTCCCCTTCCTCTTCCTCCCCACACCCTCCCTACCAGGTGATGTACATCAAGTCCAAAGACCCGGACTTTCCAGCCTTGTACCACTAACCCTACCCATGTCTTATCTCCTCCCCACCCGCCCCTTCCCCCCCTTCCTCTTCCCCCGCCTTCCCACTCTTCCCCCCCCCCCCCCCCCCCAGGTCATGTACATCAAGTCAGAAGACCCGGACCTGCCCGCCTTCTACTACGACCCGCTCATCCACCCCATCCCGCACTACCGATCCGAGTCCCGAGCCTCGCGCGCAGCCCTGGAAGAGGAGCTGGAGGAGGAGGAGTGGACACTTCCTGAGGGCGTCGAGCCGCTCCTCTCCTCCACACCTCTCTACACCGACGCCACAGCAGCCGGCATCGCGCTGCTCTGGGCGCCGTACCCCTTCAACCGGCGGTCGGGGCGGACCAGGAGAGCAGAGGATATCCCGCTGGTGGCGGGGTGGTTCAAGGAGCACTGCCCTCCCAACCACCCGGTGAAGGTGCGCGTGAGCTACCAGAAGCTGTTGAAGCTGTGGGTGCTTAACGAGTTGCACAAGCGGCCGCCCAAGTCGCACAAGAAGAGGGATCTGTTTCGTGCGCTGAAGCAGACCAAGTTCTTCCAGTCCACGGAGTTGGACTGGGTGGAGGCCGGTTTGCAGGTGTGCCGGCAGGGGCACAACATGCTCAACCTGCTGATACACCGCAAGAGCCTGCACTACCTGCATTTGGATTACAACTTTAATCTCAAGCCTGTGAAGACACTCACCACCAAGGAGCGCAAGAAGTCCCGATTCGGCAACGCTTTCCATTTATGTCGGGAGATTCTGCGGCTGACGAAGCTGGTGGTGGACGCGCACGTGCAGTACCGGCTGGGAAACGTGGACGCGTTTCAACTGGC